ACTTTTTCATCTTATTTGAGAAAGAGTTTCAATATTTTTGTGTTTTTGACTTTATTGAGAAAATGTCCTTTGACGTTGGATCAAGGGTTTTATTATCACGAGATGATTATGAAAATGATTTGAGATTGAAATGGGATTGAATTAGAAAAGGAAAGGTTGATGGCGATGCATGAAACAATCAACTTACAAGGGTTAAGAGATGGGATACATTTTGTTCAATGGGAGAAAGGTGAAGCAATAAACACATGCCCAAACAAATAAGCATACATAAATGGATTAAACACTCAAATAAGCATCCAATTAAAAATATATGAGTCTCATTGTAAGGAAGCCCAAGAGTAAGCTATGTGGGTGTGTGCAAAACAAGCTCATTGTAAGAAAGCCCAAGAGTAAGTCATAGGTTGATTGCGATGCTTAAAAAGTGATCGACTTACAAGGTATAAAATGACTTGACATTGAATCGAGAATTAGATCTTTTTGAAAAGGGTTTAATGTGATGCTTGAAGTGATTAACAATTGAGTAAAACACACAATCAAGACAGAAGTGATAAAGTTATTACACTTCATGGGAATGGGGGTACATTTTATCGAATGAGAATAGAAGATAATGAAACAATTAAATCGAGCCCAATAAATAAATATAAATAAATGAGTGTAAGTGTACAAGAGAATGGTCTCATTGTAAGTAGTATAAGTAATACTTATCCTTGACGAAATAGAAGAAAGATTAGAAGCATGGTTACCAGAAAGCAGAGTCTGATTCTGAATGATTCTAGTAGAATTCCTTATTTTCGGCCTAAAGTCATCATGCTTGAGATTATTCCTAGCAGCCCAGATTTGGTTTATCATAAATATGCAAGCAACTTTTGTTAGAGGAGATTTTTCAACTAGGGAGTATTGAACATTGTAGAACTTTTCCCCTTAAGCGGAAGCTTCAACTGTGCAATTGCACTTTCTGTTGTGTGTTTCTTACTCACCACCCTTGTATCGCTGTTGACACTCTTCAACGAGACACCTCCTAACCACCACCTATGGGGAGTACTTTCGATACAAGTGAGCCAATCCTTCACTCGAACCAGACTTTAATACCACTGTTAGGGGGGATTTTTCAACTAGGGAGCATTGAACATTGTGAAACTTTTCCTTTCTAGAGCAACATCTTTGTGAGAGACACACCACATACTCACCCAAAACCTTAAGGTGATAGGTGTGTGGGTTCTCCCACTTATAAATGCTCAAGTCACCACATTCTTATCCAATGTGAACCTATTATCCACACTGCTCACACTTGTTATACTTAACAACTTTCACCATAAGACTGAATTTGTTGGAGCCATTAGTATGACAAATATGAGGCCAATCGGCCAAATTGTTAGGACTAGATTGAATCATAGTCTTTCGTAAGATCTAATACCAAAGAGATTTCACAAAGGTGCATTGGAAAAACAAGTGTTCAGTACTTTCTTCACTAGCATTACACAAACAACGGGTAGATTCCAACTAAATACCTCTCGACCGAACCATAACCTCAGACAACATTTTTTCATGAGCTAGCCGCCAGACAAACAAAAACTTACTATGTGGGATATCACGACACCATAAATTTTTAGCCCATAGAAACTCGACAAAAGGACCTTCCTTAAAAAAGTAAGCATCTTTGCAAGATAACAACCCCATTGCATTATGATCCCACACAAATTGATCTTGCAGCAAATCAAAATTAAGAAGAACAAAGGGAAGCAAATTGGAGAGAAAAGGGAACTAGAAACCCCACCTGTAGCAAACAACCAATGGCTATCCACAATAAACTCAACAACGAAAGAATTAAGATTTATACCTTTAGAACACAAGAATTTAATGGAGGTATCAAGAAGGAGGGGATGATCACACCAAGTATCAGTCCAAAATCGAATATTGTAGTTAGTGGAGTTTCACAACAGCAAAATAACTTGAACAACTCCTTCATGAGTCCACACGGTTACAGTACTGGCACCATACTAGTCATATCTCAGACAATTCAAGTAATCTTCATTGGCAAAATATCTTTCTGTCACATGCTTCTCAATTCCTATATTTGCACTCAATACAAAATCATCAGTAATAACTACACTGTAGAAACACACTTCTCAAGCCTGCAACCTCATTAATGTAAATGTACAAAAATCATAGCTCTTGCTCATACACCAACAATAGTGTAAACATTGAATATAGGGGACATACATAATAATAGTTTTATTTTTAAATTTTATTTTAGTTATTTATTTTTAGTTTTAATCTTTTATCTTTTACAAAATTAGTATAGATTATTTTTTTATTAAGACTAAAATAAATATTAGATAAAATAAATATGTATTATGTTAAATATTATTACCGTCGATCTTGAAATAAGAAAAAATTTATTTACTAATCGATATATTTTAATTGTATCATGGATTAGAATTAAAATATATATAAGAGAAAATATATCCAGAGAAAATATTTAAGCCTAATACATATTTAAGCCAGAGAAAAGAAATATATATTCAAGGCTAATAATGTATATTTAAGCCTAATACATATCCGAAAAAATCACATATTTAAGCTTAATATATATCCACAACAATCACTTCTACTAAAGACAATATATTTCATATTAGTATTACTTCACACTAATAATATTTTAGTTTATAAAATAATTTATTTAAATAAAAATGTTGATAATATAAAGGTAATGCCTTAAATAAAATGTATAAAATTATTTAAACATTACATGCTATAAAACATATACTACTTCTATTCTATTTTATAAATAAAATTTTATTTTTTAATTTATTTAATAAATAATGTATTTAGAGTATAGTTTTTAGGATGGTAAAATGGTTCCTCCGTCCCCTTAAGTCTTAATCTCGTCAAAAAAGGAGACGGAGCGAGACAAATCCGTCAAGTGAAATTAAACTTAAAAATTTAGTCTACCTCGCTAAGAGCATCTTTAGTGGGAGTAAACTAAATGGGTAAACTAAGATATTTTTTGTGGGCCCAAAGTGATTTGTAGGATTTAAAAAATTTATAGTTGATTTGAGTAGTTTTTACTTTAATGATGGTTGTCTATAAGAAACCAAAACTTGACCCCACATTTTATATTTTTTATTCAAGTTACCATTAATTTAATTATTTTAATTAAAATACATATAATTTTTTAAATAAAATTTACGTTAAAAACTTAAAAATAATATTAAATATATTTTATTATAAAATTAAAAATGATACAAAAGTCACAACAATAATACATAAAAAAAATTACATTTTTATAGGAATATAATTATAATAAGGATTCGATTGGTTGGATTCATTTGATAAATAAATAAGATTGGAAATTGAAAGAAAAAAATTTAGTAAAACTGTGTGTAAAAAAAATTAAAATTTCTATAGAATTTATAGAAGGTAAAAAATGATAATATGACCGTTACTATTTTCAAATATCATATCATTACTTTAATGTTGTTGGAATATTTGAAATATTTTATTAATATTAAATAATATTATAATAGGTTTCACATAGTTAACGTTAACTATATAGATAATGGGAACTAAATTTTAGTTCATTTGGATGCCATGTCAGCTCTCTTATAATGCAAATTCCTTATTACTAACTTAAACTATAAAGAATTTTGGTTTAACAACTCTGCGTTGCTCTAAGGTGGCAGGTGACGGATTTGTCTGCCTATTTTTTATTATTTATTATTTTAATAGTTTAATAGATTTATTTTTACATTTCAATTAGATTTTTCACTTATTTTTAGAACAATTTTTTATAAAGCATCTTTTTAACAAATTTTACTTAAGTTTTTTTTTTTCATATATAAAATAGAATCAACAACAAATGTTCCAAAATTATAGTTCAAATATTAACCTTTCAACCAATTAAAATAAATATTTGAGTGATTGATAACTAGGCTGATGGATTGACAAGATAACCCGCCCCTTTTTTCACATGCTCAAGGCGAGACAGACAAAACAGATACGGGAGCACAAAATCTCAAACTAATCCATCATTTTTTACAGGTGTGCGGAACAGCTCGGCGTGCCACAATCCGTTTTACTACCCCTAATAAATTTTATATATCAATTATTCAATAAATTTAAAAAAAATTACTTATAAAAAAATAGAGGAAGTATAAATATTACTCGATGATAAAAGATCTAAATCACTCCAATTTTCTTTTACAGTTATATTAGTGAAGAATTCACTTATTTTTATTTAGGTGTTAGACTATAACTTATATTTATGTCTAATACTAAAATGTGATTGAATATCCATAAAATAGTACGAAATAGAATCAATTACATTCAAACAATAAAACGTACATAAATATTAATTTCAATATATATTTTAGTATAATCATATTATACTGTACAAAATAAATTTAACCACACAAATATTTAACAACTCTAAAACTATCATCATTAATTTGGCCTGTTATTTTTTGCAGTCACTTACGACCTCCACTTTTGTTACTCTCCAGTTAGAATTGAAATATTAACTAAAATTTTGCAGTCACTTACGACCTCCACTTTTGTTACTCTCCAATTAAAATTGAAATACTAACTAAAATTTCGCAGTCACTTAATTTCGCACTCACTTACGACCTTCACTTTTGTTACTCTCCGATTAGAATTGAAATACTAACTAAAATTTCACAGTCACTTACGACCTCCACTTTTGTTATTCACCAATTAGAATTGAAATACTAACTAATTTTTCGCAGTCACTTAATTTTGCACTCACTTATGACCTCCACTTTTGTTCCTCTCCAATTAGAATTGAAATACCAACTAAAATTTCGCAGTCACTTACGACTCCACAATTGTACACACTAAATCAATTTCCAATCTCAAACGTAATTTATTCAAATCATATTTCAAATATACCATAAAAGTAAGTGCCCACCGTGCAGGCACAAGATACTACTATCATTACTATTACAACTTATTTTTTGCATTTCAAATTCAATTATTGCTTTCTACTCCCTCACTTGCTTCTCTTTAGGAACTGCAAATGCCATAAGTGGAACACTTCTATGCGCAATAAACCCTCTTGTCTGAGACATGTCAATTTTTTCAACACCACCAGGCACTTCCCAGTTAAACTGATGCACAAGATTCGCCAACACAAGTTCATTTGCAGCAGTAGCATAAGTTATCCCAGGACAACCCCTTCTCCCAGATCCAAACGGCATCAACTGGAAATCATTTCCTTTAACATCTACCGAACTTTTCAAGAATCTCTCAGGCTTGAACTCTTCAGGCTGTTCCCAGTTTGTAGGATCTCTTGAAATGGCCCAGTTGTTGATGATAACATGCGTGCCTGCTTCAATGTGGTAACCGTTTAGTTTGACAGCTTCTTTGCTTTTTCGTGGGACGAGTAATGGAAACGGAGGGTGGAGCCGTAGGGTTTCTTTAACCACTGCCTTTAAGTATTTCATGTTGGGTAAATCGTCTTCTGTTATGTGTGTTTTACCGTTAGCCACTGTTTTTGCTTCTTCTTGCAATTTCTTCATGATGTTTGGATGTCTTATGAGTTGTGTCATTTCCCATTCTAGCAAAGTGGATATTGTGTCTGTTCCTGCAATAAACATGTCCTGAATGTATACAAATACATGGTCAATAAAATTAGCATAATCAAAATTATAGTACAATCATATCTCATCAAACATACTTTTATAACAATTCTGTCAATATAGAGATTTTACTTTTACACTTACCAATAGTTGAGCCTTTATGACAATTCTGTCAATAGGAAAACCAAATGATTCCGTCCTTTGAATCCAAAGCAAAACATCAACAAAGTCACCATGGTCTTCAGCACTTGAAAAACCACTCTCTCCTTTCTGTTTATTGATATGATCTTCAAGAACTTCCTCCAAAAGATCATCAAACTGTTTCGCAACTCTTCTCGCTCTTGCATAAAATCCAGAAACGTGTGTCAACCAATCAAGCCAAGGAACATAGTCACCAACATTAAAAGAACCTAGTAACTCAGTAAACTCCATCAACAATTTCTTAAACCCCTTCCCACTTTCACCACTATACTTTCTCCCTAAAGCAACCCTACAAACTATGTCATTTATAGTTGTGGAGACTAATTCACTTATATCCACTGGCACTGAAGCAGAAGCACACTGCTTTATTTTCTCCGCCATAAATCCAACTTCTTCCTCTCTCACAGCACGAAGAGATTGAACCCTTTTCGCACTAAGAAGATGTAAAACAGATATACTCCTTATCTGTCTCCAATACTCACCATATGCAGCCGTGGAAACATCTTTGCAATCATATAAAAGTATCTTATAGTTTTTCTTTTGGGGTCTGTTTGCAAAGACGTGATCATGGGTTTTCAATATCCCACGTGCTTCTTCAGCTGATGAGATAACAAGAACTTTTATGTAACCAAGATGAATTTGAATTAAAGGTCCATATTTTCTAGCTAGAGATTGAAACGTACGGTGAGGGAATAAGCCAAGTTGATGGAGATTTCCTATGATAGGTAATCTTGGAGGAGAAGGTGGTGAGTTTTTGATTTTTGTAGAATTGGAATACCATTTGATTAGCATAAAAAGAGTGAGAGCTATGGAAGAGATTAGGAGAAACATTGTATTAATGTTCTCTTTTGTTTTTGCTTCCAATTCCAATGAGTAAGACACTATTTATAGACATTGCAATCATTGTACAAAATTTAATTTTATAGTGTAACGTAATGTGTTTTGTCTTAGCCGTATTATGGTCAAACATTTTATTATTTTTAAATAAAAGCCTTAAATTCAAGTTTGTTCACCTTTTTTGACTATAGAAAAAACAAAAGCCATTTTCTTGAATTCTGTTCAACTTTGTTGTTTGACTAAATACAATTTAATCAACAATTTCAGTGAGACTGCGACTAAGTAACCTTAATCCTAGGGTATGGATGAAAAGGAGAGGCATGGAGAGTGAAGAAAGTTGAACGCCAAGGATTACGATGGTTGTAAAATTTCGCTATCTTATGCTAAAACTTCATTAATAAAAATTAAACCGTCTTTCATTAATTATATAAGAAAAACTAATAATAAATAATAAATAATAAATACTAAATAATAGAAAATATATTTAAAAATGTATTAATATTGTATTCAAAATATAATATAAGTTACAATTTAAAATAATTTTTTTTATAAAGTGATTTACAATTTGAGAGGAGAGGATAATAAATTTGTATTCTTCAAGAGAAATGTAGCATGTCTTTGAGTTTAGTTAGATTTATATTTATTATTTATTTAATTTATTAATTTATATAAATTTTATTTTTTAAAAATTTAAAATTTTATATAAATTTTGAATTTTTTAATTGTGAATTACATTTTAAAAATATTCACAATTTTTATCAATTTCTTAAAGCAAACAAAAAATATTATGAGTAAAAGCAATTCGAATTTTTTTTTCATGAAGATAGTTGTAATGAAACAAAGAATGGCAATATTCATTTTAAAGTCATCCAAATCACTGATGAAGTTAGCAGAAAATAAAATAAAGTTGGATTAATGGTCCAGGTTATAATTATGAGCTTGAATTCCATATTTTTTTTTAACTTATGTTAGCCAAGACAGTGTATATATATGCAAGACGAATTTTAGAAGAAATAAGTGGTCAATAGATGAAGATAGAAATTTAAAGTTTTTCATAACTCAGATTAATTGAAATATACTAGTAACAAAGTCACGAGAATCAGGATCATCTTAAATTTTTGGAGGTTCTACGTAGATTATCTCAGTTCAACACATTGGCAAAATAAATAGGCTCCTCTATTTTTTCTATGGTTTAACAGTGTATTTATGAGGCTCCATTTCGTCACAATTTAACCATGATAAATTTTAGGCTCTACGCGGTAGCCCACTTTATCCTCCCTCAAAGACTTCCCCAACTAGAATGAGGCATGACAATGATTTTTTAGAAAATGATATTGAATTATATAATCATATTATTAACTTCTAAAAAAATTTGTTTAGCTCAAAAATCAATTGCAGTTATACAGATTTGGTGGAGAGGACACAACTTATAACTCATGTAGATAATGAATACTTCACTAAAATGCATAAACTAAAGAAAATTAAGAATGTAATGCATAATATGAATGATAATTATATTCCATGCCCTAATGGCTTTAAGGTGATGTTTTTTCCAAGCCTATTCGAATAAAGTAGGAACTAATGTGATCAATTCATTAAATCAATTCTTTGAACAAGTTGGATAATTTATAATTTCAATTCAATCAATGTGACTATGATACCTAAACAACATGTAGCATATTCTATAGAGCAATATAGACCTCTTACACTTGTAAAATTTCAATTCAAAATAATCACTAAGATCACTACAACATGTTGGTCATCTTAGCTCCTAAAATTCTTTCAAAACACCAACGAGGCTTCATTAGAGACAAACATATTAATGAGCGCATTGGGATTACTTCAGAAGTCATTGATATGTTGGACAAGAAATCTTTTAAAGGTAGTGCGACTTTAAAGATATACATTAGAAAAGTCTTTGATACATGTTGAATGCCAAACATGTCTTATTTTGATCCATATTTCTTGTAATTTTTCATCTCATTTGTTATGTTTCAATGATTTTATTCCATGTTTCTATGCTATTCTTCAAATATGTGAAAATACCTTTGGTTGCTTTGATTTGTGTGTTATCGTTCAAGATTAAGGCATAAAAAATGAAAGAGTAAGACACAAGTAATTAGACAAGGATGCCAAAGAAAAGGAGAAGATTTAGCATGTTTGCTGGGCGAACAACAACGAGTAGCCAACAAACATTCGCTGGGCGAAGTTGCAGCGAAGCCCCGGCGAATCATCCTATATTAGAGGCAGTAAGAAAATGGCCATAAGTTTGTTGTGCGAACTTGTAGTGATGAAGCACACTGGGCGAAGAAGTGTTCGCTAGGCGAGCATAGATATTTTCTCAGGGGCGGTTTAACTATTCAGAGGCACTTCAGGTGTCATAAAGTGGTCGTCACTGGGCAAATAAAGGGTTCGCTGAGCGAACTTGATAGATTCCAAAAGTACTATATATGTACTTTTCACACTTTCTTGGGATCATAGCCCCATTTTCACAAAGGAACCTCATTTTTCTGCATTTCTTCACCAAAGAGTGAAATTTTATAAATAGAAGCTGGATTTGCATCCAAGATCGATTCTTCGACGTGGATGCTCATTCATCTTCTCTCAAGACTTGTAAAGTGAGCTACCATGGTTATGAGTAGCTAATTTCCTTTGTATCAAAGGTAGAGATAGTCTACCTTAGCTTTATGTATTTCTTTTGATTGGCCTTGTATGTGAATAAGTGATGATTAATATATTATGAATATTTTTGTTCTTAATGATCCATTCTTTTTTAGTAAAACTCTAGACATATATTTTATGGAACTTGACTTAAAATATTCATTTATCAATTTATAGATTGGAGAGATCGGTCTATGGTTGATATTTACTTTGTATTGAATTTAAAGCTTACTATATTGGTTGTTATATGGAGAGATTGTGTAGCGATGAATACGGTATTTCTCACGACACCGCTCTAGACATAGACGGTATTGAGAGAATACGTGATGATATTAATCGGATCCGACTTCACATGCAAGATTGAAAGAATACGTGTTAGTTAGGGTAGATGAAAACTACTTTTGATATACTTTGTTAATCAAACTTTAGAATTTTATAAGCTTTGCTACAAAAATTGTGACAATTTATGAAAAAAACTTTGAAAATCTTTTTTGTTAGAATGATAAACTATTGAAAGGCAAGCATCCTATATTAGAACAATCCCTATGGAGACGATAACGAAAATCCCCCTAATTCTGCAATTCAAAAATACATTAGTTTGACTATATCTTATTAAAGTTTTTGCTCATATTTGGTTTTGATCAAACATTTTGTGATTGGATATTACCATTCTACACTGAGGAAAACTATCAATCATGATAAATGGAAAAGCTGTAGGATTATTTTTCTCTAGAGGACTGAGACAATGAGATCATTCATCTTCCTTGCTCTCCTGCATTGCCAAAGAGGAACTTATTACGCAATTATGTATGTTGATGGATCAGGGTAAGTTGACATACATATCAATTGGTAAGACAACCATTCCTAGCCACACTTTTTCGCATATGACCTTATGATATTTTGCCAAGCTACCAGGAAAAATGGCCAACTCATTAACCATATCTTTCAAGAATATGGTCAGAGTTATAGTCAACACATCAGTCTAACTAAATGTAAGCTTTTTGGTAGAGGTACTTCTGGATCTAGGTTGTAGCACATTGCAAATATGCTTGGATTCACTGTGGGGTAGACACCATTTAACTATCTTGGAGTTTCTAAATTCAAATACAAGCTTGGAATTTATCATTTCCATAACATAGATGATAAAGTATTAGTCAAGCTAGTTACTTGGAATGGGCACCTTCTTTCTATGATGGGTAGGGTTTAATTGGTCCAGTTAGTCATATAAGGCATGCTTATGTATAATCTTAGGATTTATGAATGGCGAATCAATCTTATTAAAAACTACAATCTTACATTAGAAATTTTGTGTAGACAAGTAGCATAGACAATAAAAAGTTGATTACTACACCATGGAAGGTTATTTATTTACCTTTGTCTAAAGGAGGTGTTGGTCTGAGAGATATTAAAATAATAAACAAAGTTGGTTGCTTATCTATGTTAAAATATGTTGACTATCAATATTCAATGATCATTCATGCTTATTATTAAATACTTCAGGCACAAAAAACCAATCATGCATCATATTTCTTTTTCAATATGGTCTGGCTGCTAGATTTATCTAACCTTTTATGGGCTATAATCAATAGTTGTTTAGTTTGTGAAAAACAGGTTAATCATGACTCTGATGGAGGTGCATATATAAGACCTTTTATTGGTTAAGTGACCTATTTTAATTAAAGGTTGAGTATCTAAAACCAGATTGGTGTGGACAAGAGTGTGGGCTTTAACCCTGGGGCCATAATGGGTAGGGACTAAGGTTATATATTATATAGCTAGGTCCCCTCTGTAGTCACAAGAATCACAAACATAAATGACGACTCCACAAATTGCCCCATTTAGAATTGTGAGCGAGAGTGTGAGATACAAATGAAGATCCAGTTATTCATCTTTTCGGGAGTGTGAGATACATGAATGGCTCGCAAATAAACAATGAACACAGTCCAACTCAAATATTAAAATGATATAAGAGTGGATCACAAATAACAAAGACACACTAAACCCTAAAAATATTCTTTCAATACACGACTTTGATACACCATTAGGTTTAGAACAACTCTTTTTATATCTTCATATCAGTATGGGCTTGGGCTCTTTATCTAGCTGAAGCTAGCGGATTATACCTGAGCGTATCACACGCTCAAAGATACAATATAGTCGCCACCAAAATTTATTTATTCCCAAAGGATGGGGAAAATATCAATAAAATCCAAGAGGAAGAGAAACGGGTAAGTGAGTTGGTTATGTGAGAGGAAGGTATTAGCACCCTACACATCTGTCGTACTCGATGAGAACCATTCTGCTTGCTTCTAGGCTAGGATGGGTTATCTATC